GCTCTCCGCCAACCCAGCCGACGCGGTAGATAAGTCAATCCTCCAATCCACTTTTTAAATTTTGTTAATCTTTGCTATATTCCTTTCCTAGTAAAGGTCTGTTTCATTCACAAACGTTTTGCAAAATGAAAAGAGAAACATAAAACCCTTTTTACAAAAAATAAGTGTACACATTTTTATCTCTTACACTTGGCTCGTTATCCAAATGGCATCACGCCGCCTATCCCGACCGCGTCCCACCCTCACCGAGTTTCACATACCAGAACTCAAGTCCCTTGAGAAACCGCGGATTCCTGAAATACCTGCCCGAAGTCTCCAGTCCCATAATCCTGACTCCAAGCGACCGCGATTCCCCAATACCGGCGGGATATCGACCGGTCTGGTCCCCAAAGACGACGTCCGAGATTCTTCGTGGGACGAGGGTCGTTATAGTCGTGGATTCCAAGTGCGATGGGGGAAGTGACACCTCCTAAGTGCACTGTCGGGCCCTAGCAGAGGAAATGTACTGTCGGCCCTTTTTCTGCACTAGCCAATTTTCTGCAGTCCGACCAGCCCCTCCCCGACTGCCCACCGATGATGTACTCCAGTCCACACCAAAATAATAAGTAGCACTTTACAAAGAAGCCGGGATCCAACGACATCTACGCGCGCTCTCACTGTCCGCGTGCACCTCTGCAATTACTACTTTTCTTTCCCATCCTCACTTTGTTTCCCCACCTGACATCTCTATCGAAGGCTTCCCTCATTCAGCCTTCCAGGGGGCGACCCCTGTAGTGAGCATGCAACATTTACACTTTCAGTACTTTGTGACATTGGATATTATTCTTGTTTGTATCTTCCGATCGTCCATTAGCTTTTCTGACGGCACGTCTTGTTCACTTTCGAACTCTCTGTGATTCGCACGCTACCTTGCTCTGTGCTCTTACTAATTTGCTTCTAATTCATTGCAGCTCCTTACAATACACCTTGCGTTCGGCTCCGTACTCATTTCTGAATACTTGGCATTTGTATTGATTCCTACTGGTACTCGTCACAATCAGTACCTGCGTTCCGCTTTACAACTTTCTTGTCGGTGAGTAGACAGCACTTAATAGTGCACTTGAAATCCTCAGTGGGTCATGTGGTTCATGATTAAACATATATACTGCGTGGTATTCCTTCTCGACCTTGCGTCGAAACTCTGAAGCAAGTGCCATTGATTTCCTTTCAAGTTTTCAGCAAGTCCCCCACCCCAGAATGTCGGTATAGTGAAATCCCAGCCACTAATTTCAACGAAGCGATGACTGCAGAGTCTGGTGTCCGGTATCGGCGACGATCAGGCCCGTGAAAGGCTGTTGTCAAAAGAAGAGACTACAATGAGCTGGGAGGCCTGTAATGTTGTTCGGAGTTCAGGGAATGTCCATAAACACTTGGTAACTATTTCCACCAACTTCATACACACCCAATCTACGCATTCGATAGAAACTGTGTTACCCCGAGACGGTCCGAATTGCTTTTTGCATGTTATCTATTCGGAAACCAGCATTTGTCGGTCGTGGAATGTTGTAATAAACAGAGTATCTGCCGCCAGTGTGGAAAAACAGGGCATATGGCCCGAGTTTGCCGTTTTAACACTAGCACAGCCGTGACTTCACGATTTTCAAAGAGGACCGTGAAGATCGTCCAACATTCAAACGAAGATGACCAGCTAAACACGACTTGGAATGCAACGTCGAGCATCTGTAGCATTCATCCAACTTACCCCGTGTAACTGGAAATATCTCAGTTGGTTAAAATGGAGGTTGATCCCGGTGCCTCAGTTACCATACCATGCTGCATCTGTTTAAAGATTACCCAAGTTATCCACTTGTGAATAGACTTTGCAGACATACACCGGGTAGCCGATACCAATCCAGGGAAAATGCACTGTTCATGCTAATTATCATGGGGAGAAGCGGATGTTACCGGCGTATTTTGTAGCGAATGATTGTCCACACTTACTCGGGCCCGACTGGATTAAAGTCCTCCTTTCTATTCTGGGGACAGTGAAGATCAACTACGTTAATCAGCGCTTGGGGATGTGTTCAATAAATATGCTGACATTTTTTAGTGATAAATTGGGAAAACTGAACGACTATCAGGCTAGTATCAAATAACAGTCGGGAACGCAACCCCGTTTTTTCAGCGCACGTACCCTACCCTATTCCCAGAGATCAAAAGTCGAGGACAAAATAAATAGATTGCAATCAGCGGGAACAATCAAGCCAGTCCTGAAGTCTGATGGGGTCCGAAAGATGCTGAACCCGTCTGGCTGGATACACTTGCTGACATGGCTAGGAGCCGACGTCAATAGCTTTCGTGTTATGAGTTCCTTTGTCCCATTCATCTTAGCCTCCTCTTCCAACCACGACCTCACTTCTTAGCCTTATGTAATTTTGCAGTAATTTTTTTGCTGCATAGTAGCCGGCTGGTTGCTTGCCGGAACGATGTCCATCCGTTACCGTTAGCTCAGCTGGCTTACATCGGTTGCATTTCTTTCCCTTTTTCTTTTATGTATTGCAGCACAGAAGCTGAGGTGTTTCCCATCTCTAGCTAACGTGTACAATGATGATAATGATCTCTTACCTCGGATAGAGGATCTGAATGCTACGCCAGCATGCGGACAAAAGTTCACGCAGATCGATCTCAGTCACGCATACTTACAAATTGTGTTAGACAAGACTCTTTTCCCTTTACACGCTTATACGATAAGTACCCATGTGGCCCTGTTCTAATGCCAACATCTGCCTTTCGGAATCAGTTCACCCTCGGTAATTTTCCAAAGGATCATTGACAATCTGATCAAGGATATTCCTTTCACGTGCGTCTATCTTGATGACATTCTGAATACAGGACGTGCAGATGCTGAATATTTACAAACGTCATCCACTCTACTCGAACGCCTACAAATGAGTGGCCTGAAACGTAACAAGTCCAAGAGTACGTTTTTCTCGGATTCCGTTCTTTACCTGGGTTATTGGCTCGATAAAAACGGATTAAAAGTGTTAGGAGACAAAGTCAAGCTCATCCTTATCGCACCTTAACCCAGCAATGAGGCTGAACTTCGGCTATTTCCAGGGATGTTCTTTCACTGTCGTTGCAAAAGTATTTTCACCTTTGTACTAACCGTTGCACAAGGGGAAGTCCTCTATTTGAGGTCCGCATCAAACAAGAATCTTCACAGATGCAAAAAGAGCGCTCAGCGCCTCCCCGTATCTCGTGCCTTTTGATCCGAACCGGCCTCTGATACCGCACTGTGATGCTTCCCCACGCGAAATATGCGTAGTCGTTTGTCGCCTGACGGATGACGGTTCTCTTCGCCCAACCGCTTTTGCTTCTCGCATGTTGCAACCTGCTCAGAGGAATCACTCCCAAATGGACAGAGTGGCTTTAACGATTATTTTCGGAGTCAAGCATTCCCACCAGCACGTCTGGGAAGATAGTTCTATGTACACACTGATCACAAAACACTTATTTCGCTTCCGGTTGAGGAGAATGGAATCCAGCATATGTCTTCGCCTATATTTGAGCACCTATAACTACAACCTTCAATATGCAAACGGACCTAATAATACCATTGCCGATGCACTTAGTCGCCTCCCGCAGCAGCATGGAACACAAAATCAGTGAACCCATGGTGTTTATCATGCTGATCCAACACCATGAAAAGACACTCATCCGGAGTGAGCTGGTACGGCGCCTGACAGACAGGGACCCTGTATTGTCGATGGTGAAACGGTTCGTGATGACCGGATGGCCTACAAGTATATTAGACGAACTGAAACCATTTGTCTATCGGAGTACTGCCTGTAGTCTGTACGACGGCTGTGTATTTCGGGGTTCGCACATAGTTTCACCAGATGAACTACGGCCTCACCGGCTGAGAGAGCTGCATGACGCACGCCCTGGTGTGAACAGGATGAAGGTACTGCCACGGATTATTGTTGGTGGCAGAACCCTGACCAGGATATAGAACCGCTGCTGAAAATTGCAGACAATGTCTGAAATATCAAAGACAAAAATCTCCCAGACATCCAATGCGTTGACGGGATAGGCACTGGTAGTGGGTACATGCGGACCACTTTGGCCCGATCAATGGGACGATGCATTTGCTTTTGTTTCATGCCCACTCTAAATGGATATAAGTACATCCGGTTCCACATGCGACTTCAACCGCAGCAATTGCAAAGGTGCGCTACGTATTCGCCGCCTTCGGTTTCCAAGAAACGGTATGCACCGACAACGGGACACCATTTACCTGTGAAGATTTTCAACAATCCTTGTGTATCTATGCAATGCAGCACAGCAAGTCTGCACCCCACCATTCATGCTTCGAATGGGATGGCAAAACTTGCAGTCCAGATTTAACCAAGGTCTCCTCAAACATACTCATGGAACTCTGCAGACTTAGTTGGATCGTCTCCTGTTCTCTTACCACCGACTGAGTCAATGAGGAAGACACCCGTGGAGTTGATGTTTAGATGGCCACTACGAACAAGACTACACCTCCTTTTTCGAACCCTCGAAGGAACATGCAGGCAAAGCAGTAGCAGCTACATGAAATGACAAGATGAACAATGAACAATGATTTATAACGGATAAAAAAGCATATGCTTGACAGGTCCCGTAGGGTGGTTGGAGCAATAGATAAAATGGAAGGATAATCGAACAAGTAAATCGTTTTTTAAGCCTCTACAGATTTCAACGCACCACTTCATAATGATAGTTTGAAGTATGGACTGGATGTCTGCACCCAAAGTAGAGCTGTTATATTACAGCAAATGTGGGAAAAGAAATCAAAGGAACGGCTAACGCTCACTCGTGTGTTGCTTCCGTTGAGAGATGTGGTACGTTACTCCAGTTTGTATACATCCATGTCGCTCATTGGGACACTTCTGTATGTAACATCACCGCCACTTTGCGGGGAGGGTCAGTAACCTCATGATTTGGGTCTCGTTATTTCGTCCTCCGAATAGGACGTGCTATGCCAAATAATGCAAGTTGGAAAGTGTGTCATCTAGGCGTTTTTTAAATAGTGCCAATGTGGGGGCAAGGACGACGTGAGTGGGGAGCGCATTCCAAGCACGGGACACACGGAGTGAGAAAGAGTTTCGTCGACAATCAAGTCGGTTGTAGTGTGTAGCCAGTTTGAGTTGATGACCTCTCAGGTTGGTATTTTGGCTCAGCTGCAAGAGACTGCGACATGGGTGATTTGGATTCATCAGTATTAAGTAGACCATGATGAGGTCTCCTCGGTGACGACGATATTCACCACTGTACAATGCCAGAGACTGCAGTCTGCGTTGGTAGGGGATGTGAAACAGGCCTCTGACGAGCTTCGTTGCTCTACGCTGTGGAGCTTCAAGTGCACTGATGTCACGCTTGCGCCAGGGACGCCAGGCCTGGATCGCATACTCCACGTGGGGTCTCACGTAAACGCTCAGCATTTGCGGAAATACAGATGGCTCGAAATTTCCGAATTCCCTCCGTAAGAGTCCGAGATGTTGACTGGCCCTTTTCGATGCCTTTTCAGCTTGTCTGGAGCAGCCAAGGTCGTTCTGCACGATCACTCCGAGTTCGCATTCCTGGGAAGCATGTTTCAACGGCTGGTCCCCGAGTAAGTATTCATGGATGAGCTGGTGGCGTAAGCTCACGACTTTGCACTTGGCGACATTGAAGTGGAGCATGTTTTCGGATGACCAAGTGTACGCCCTGTCCAGATCGCTCTGCAGTGTTGTGTGATCGTCCTCTGTCCGGATGTCATGCCAAATTTTGACATCATCTGCAAACAGCAAGAAGTTCGACTGTAGTACACTGGCAAGGTCGTTAATGAATGCTAAAAATAAACGTGGCCCCAGTACTGACCCTTGTGGCACACCGCACTGGACGTCAATTTGGTCGGACATGGAGCTGCGGACTCTCACATTCAGCTGGCGTTGAGTGAGAAAGTTGGCGATCCAATCAAGCACAGGGTCACCGATTCCGTAGCCTCGAAGCTTGTGTAGGAAGATGCGGTGGTCCAAACGATCGAACACCTTCGAGAAGTCCAGGTAGACAACGTCGACTCCAAATCTAGCATCAGCTGACTCCGTCCAGCTTGATCGGGCCAGCAGCAAGTTTGTAGTGCGGGATCGATCTCGGCGGAATCCGTGTTGCTGTGGCACTATGATATTGTTGTTCTCCAGATATCCCATCAACGCCTCCGCAATTATACGTTCCATTACTTTGGATAAAACTGGAAGGAGAGTGATTGGACGGTAGTTCGACGGCTCCGCACGATTACCGCTTTTGTAAATGGGAGTGACTAGCCCATGTTTCCACATTGTGGGAATCAGCATTTCGTCAAGACAACGTTGAAAGAACCGAGCTAATGGTTCGGCAATGTTTAGGGCCGCTGCCTTCAACGCCTTCGGTTTAATATCGTCCACGCCTGGCGAGCTGTGCACACGCAACGACATTAGCGTTTTCAACACATTGGTTGCCGTGAACGATACGTTGTGTATACCTGGGAACTGTGAGAGCTCTGTCAAAATCGGGTGAAGGGATGGTTCACTCCGGAAAGTATGGAGGAAGTGTTGACGAAACACGTTGGCCGCGTCCTGTGCAGTTTGCGCATGACCATCTGTTGCACGCAAGACCGGGGTCCCGCGCTGCACTCTACTGAGTTTGTTGATATGTCTATACAACAGCTTTAGATTTTTGCTGAATTTCGCCGCTAAGTGCTGTTGGTGCTGGAGTTTGTCTTCGCGAATCAACTTGACGCAGTGGTTTCGTTGAGTTATGTAGACTCCCCAGGTCAGATTACTTGGGCAAACTTTGTAAGCGTGCCAGGCCGAATCCCTTAAGGCCATAGATTTTCTCGTACGGCTTCTTAGGAACGGATCCACTTGCTTCGGGCGAAAGGCCTTGCGTTCTGATGCATTTGCCACTAGCTCAGTGAATTTGGTGACAAACACCATCCAAGCCTCATCGGGCGGATTCTCGGTCAGGAAGGACCAGTTGGTGTCTTGAACAAGGTTAGACAAGATGTCGTAATGTGTAACCATATAAGTTTCCTCGTCGTTCTCTCTAACGTACTCCGAATAACAGATGTAACGAAAGTGCAACGTCTCGTGATCACTACGACCTAGTGGTGTAGCTATGGTAACGGTGTCAATCATTAGTTCCTCGTTGGTGAGCACAAGGTCCAAGACAGAGGGGGTGTCACCCGTTCTGAAACGAGTGGGGGAGGTGACATTGTTATACAGTGGTACATCGGTAATCAGTTCTTGCAAATCAGCCTTGAACTGTTCGCTGGGCGATGCTGGAACTTCGAGTGCGTGCAGATTGAAGTCCCCCACCAGAAGAACGTGACTGTGTGGACATGTCAATACTCGTTTCATCGCAGCAGCAAGGTCTTTATCCATTTCCAAGGTAGACATTGGAGGACGGTAAACTATTGTTAGCAAACACACATCGCCACGTCTCAGGTGCATACGACACCAAAGAGAATCGTTGATGTTTGCTTCTGAGTCATCAATGATCTCAACATGTAGGTCGGATCGATAATACAAAAGCACTCCGCCTCCTCTGCTAGGCCGATCTTTTCGTAAGGAACTCATGCCAGGTAGCGCAATCTCGGCATCCGCGATTTCCGTGCTCAGCCAGGTTTCGGTGACCATAACTAGGTCCCAGGGCGTGGAGACCTGGCGAAATCGAAGTTCGGTTAGCTTGCTGAGAAGACCTTGTGCATTAGTATAGAAGCAGGAGAGGGCATCGGTGGTTAGAAGAGTGTTTGTAGATTCTGGTTTTCGGTTGGAGTTTCCGCCGACCCTTGTGGGGTTAATCACCAAATTTGCACAGATAAAACAATACACCAAGAAAACTGTATTGGTGTAAAATTCACACACAGAAAACACGTACAACACAATATTCCAAAAGAAAATTGCACATCCAGCACGGGTTAGCAAAATTCCGCGGCGTCCGTGGGTACCAGAGGAAATGTGTCTCAATGCTTTTGATCCAGTGTACACAAGACTCCCTCACGAAATAAGCTGGCAACTTGCTACACTTATGTCCTCAACGATTAACCAAGCAGAGCTGCTAGTAGATGATGGCCATGTGGTACGCCGCCACTTTGATCATGTTCGGCCCTGCTCAGTTGAATCGCATGAGATGGGTCAACCATCGACTGATACGGACGCAAAAGCCGATGGGGAATCGGCCTCATAAAATAAGAAACCGTAAACTGATTCGCAACAACCTGAATTAAGACTTCCAACATGCACGCCTAAGCCAATTGATCGGTATCAACCCGGAGCCTGCAGGTTTTACCAGGGAAGAGATGGGTTTCACGGTTACACTTGCACATTGATTGTGTACACAGGTGCTCACATGATTGCTTGACAATGACCTTGCTTTACCTTCCTTATTTTATTGGTGTTCCTTTTCGGTATTTCTAACCAGTTGGACGTAGGATTCTTCCATTAAACGGTTCCACACTACACCTGCGCTTTCTGCTGTGTCCATTGGCCTACGGGCCGTACTTAACACTCCTAAAGGCACTGAGTTTGTCTTGAACTAGTGTAACTGTCAAAATGGCTAGAAGGTAACAGTAAGTCCCCAATCAGGATACAACCACATCAAGAATGTTGTCGCTCAGAGAGACAACGAGTTTTAGCGTATTGAAATCAAACCGCCTGATTAGCGGGAGACGGCTTCATATCCATCTTGTCTGTAACAACCCCGCGCATGTGCGGACGACCTGACCGTATACCCAGCCCTCGTGCGACTGGCGATGGACGCGTGACAGCGACGCATCTGTACGATGTGCCGACGTACTGCTGACACTATCTGACTATCACAACGGTGCTGCGTAGTGTGCTAGTGCCTGGTTAGATCTGGCAGGCCTAGTTACTCACTAAGACCGTTACGATAATCTCATGTGGAAAGAGTGACGGGTAAATTGAGCAGGTGACTTAGTGCGGCTGTAGGCTACTACCACCAGCACTAAATGCTAGCCGTACCGTCGCTAATGCCTATATGGCACACGTACTACAGTACCGCTACAGTTTGACTATACGTGGACGTTGGGTTGAAATATACTGAACCAGAAATGCCATTCCCACACATCCAGTGAAGTGTTTGGAGGATGTGTGACGAACGTTCCCATAACCGTTTCCGCTGGTTAGGTGACAAAATTGATGGCTGATCATATGCAGGTGCTACCAGACACAAACACGCCTACTCCTCCACCCTCCCTTAACCCGCGTAGGTGAGGTGTAGTGTATTAGGAGAACAGCTATTAGACATTCATTTATTGTGACCGAGCTTGATAGCTATTCTTTACTCTCCCTATTTTCTATTTTTTGACTATTGTTTAAACACTCTACTAGGTTCGCCCGATTGGTACATCCGCGTCATTGTTAGTGGACGCTCATCGTCATGCCCTTCTCAGCAGCGCTGTTTGCAAGAATATATTCTATTGTTTTTTTCTTCTTCTCATCTCTGTTCTACTTGGTTATGTTAAAGGAATATTTAGTGTCACACAATTATTGTATTAGTTTTCAACTTTTGGGTCTGCATTCCTTATTCGCGTTTGTTTCGTGGCTTTGTTTAAACGTTTCATTTCGTCATTCTGATTTGACCAGTGCCCGTCACTGTAAATGGTCGTTCGCTTTACACTTAGAGTCCAATGATGCTATTTTTAAGGACATACGCGGTTCGCTCTTGAGTACACGGTTGCTTATTCGCCGTTGCATTTTACGTTTTTCCTTCAGTTGGTTGGCTCAAGTGTACTTTAGTAGCTTCCCTTTATTTTGCCTTCAAACTATATAAGCAACTGTGATTTCATGTATAAAAGTCTCCTTCTGGCTCGTCTTGGACTTCTTCTTACGGTCGTGGGGTGAAGGCATCAGCGGCGACACAACATAGTGTCTGTCCTTTAGAGAAGGCGCTTATTCAGTGAAGCCGACTCAACGAAAGTTACATGTCTGGCAAACCAAACTCCCTAACATAAGTTGTCTGTTCACTTCCATAACTAAAGACACTTCGGGGCAGATGAAGTCTCTCCTTTGGCTCAGTTACACAAACGGGATCAACTCACACGAAGGTTGGACAATCCGTGCTTAGTATCGAATCCGTTAAACATGTCTCCCATTGCTTCCCTAGCTCGCTCATTTGATCCATCCATTCAATTTGATAGGACACTCCCGTCATACCCTCCCTTGTCAAGTCCTTGTGCCTACATACTGCTACATACTTCGTACACTTTGCCACTCCGCGTCGTTTTCGCCGCATATGCCGCTGTTAGGCCCTCCACTGGCAATCAACATTGTCGTCTCAGTTGCACTCGATTTCTTCTGGACGTTTCCCCAGAACCTTTATTTCGTCCGACCTTGTATTGACCTTCGCAGTCACAACATCTCTCTTCCACCGCTCTTGACTGTCGGGTACTGGTTGAACACATACTTCTTCACCCATTGTCAGCTCGCCTAGTGTCCGTACACTGCAGTCGTACCGTTTTTGAGTGGGCATCCGTCTTCTTAGACTGTTTTGTAGTCTCTCATGTTGTGGTGAAGCTGGGTGTAAAAGTACGACTGATGCCGGCATCAGAGTCATAGTCCATCAGCTGCTTAGGATCTGCACTGTGTTCAGACCGTTATTCGTTGTAGGAACGTTGCGGTTCTCCGGTAGCCTGAGGTACGGGTCGTAGCCAGTAGATCTAGGTTTGGATAACAGTCGTTTGGTCTGCTAGCTTCCCACTTCCATTCGATTGACTGTGGTATGGGCTGGTTTTCTGATGCACTTATTACCATTTGGTTGCGAAAGCCCAGAATGTAGCGCTAGTAGACTGGGGACAAATGTCGGAGACCATCTCTTCTTGTATTTCATGCCTTGCGAATTGACATCGGAGTTGATGTTTACTGCTTCTGTGTTCGTAGTGGTGAGTAAATCGATTTCAAAACCATCGCTTTATTAACCCACCTTAATTACTCTTTTTCGTTTCCATTATTGGTGCCCTCGTCTGCCGAATTTCGAGTGAACGGCTCGCCTCATAGTTCGACACACCGTCTCTGATTTGACTCGTCACTCCTCGCCAGAATATCAATTCTCCTGCTCGGTTGATGACATAGCACCTCGGTGGGCGTGATGCACCTGTTTCAGCGTTTCCCCTCGGAACGATGACGGAATCAGAACACGTCTTTCCTTGAACGGCAAGCCTTCATAGAAGGATAGTTCGTCCTGAAAATCTAAGTAGCGTGCTATTTCCTTCACCAGCTACTTCTTTGTCGCTGGTAACCCATTAGGAATAACGTCCCGTTAACCTGAAAAAGATGTCCCTTCCTTTGTGTGAAGCCTTATTGCTTCTAGACCATCATCCGTGGTTGCTGGATGCTGTAATAAGTTTACTTCATCAACCTCTTTGGATTGTGCTCGGCTACCAGCATATGAGTACTCAACAGCCTATCGGTGATGAACATCTCCGCACCCGGCAGATTGTAAGTTTGAAGCCGGAGAGTCGTACACCGAAGAAGACGAAAAACAATAAGGAGCTGTTTACTGGCTGTCGATACAAGCGGTTTGTGGTCGGTATACACAGTTGTCTTTCTCCCGAGAGTATAATGCTTTAATCTATCCATGACATAGACTACTGCGAGCATGTTATTCTCAATCTGTGCAAAGCGCTTCTCAGTCACTGTAAGTGTTCAACTGCGGAAATCCAATAGTTTTCCATTTTGTAGGAGAACAGCACCCATTCTATCCTGACTACTGTCAGACTATACTACTAGAGGCTACGCTGGATAATAAAGTTCAAGTATGGGCGCGTTGCTGGTAAGGCGTTAATAGTTGGAAATACGGTTTCCTGTCCTTTTCTCAACTCCACCTTACTCTATTGTGAGTTAGCTTTCTGCTCGGTGTCATGATATCAGCGTTCAGTAATTCACAATAAAGTCTAAACTATGGATTCCCTTCACGTCGTTAGGGATCGGCATCTCGTGCCGCTTCAATTTTCTCTGCATCGACCCTGAATACCTCGGTTGTTAGCACATGTCCATGTCGTAAGGAAACTGGTTTTTTTCAATAACCAATTGCCATAATGCGAAAGACATATCTACGTGAAATACTTAGCTTTGGTCAAAGGCGGCAAAATGTATTCTAGGATCGTTAGCACATAATGTTCGCCACACAGGGTCTCATTCAACGACTTCAAGCAAATGCACATACACTTCTCGTCTTCTTCGTGATGATCGAAACCTGAATAACCCAATTGCTCGTCTCGTCAAGTTTGGCGACACACCCACTCTCACCAATTAAATCAACCCAACGGAAAGCCTGTCACACAGCGCAAACGTAATTCTCATAGCCGGCGGCACAGTCGGTCGTATCATGGGACTTAACGACAAGCGAGCGGTTCCATTAAATCTTCCCGAACCCGGGCTAAACGCAGGTGGATGCCCGATCTATTCATTCGTCTGAAGCTAGCACCGATATCGTCGATCTGTATCCCATCATATTTGACGGCGCTTTGAAGAAGTCCGAAGATGTTCATTGGTCATTGAACGAATCCGCACCACAAGAAGCACTGATAGCTGGAAAAGTGCCTATTGTTATGCGTGTGAAGTTCACAGATGTATTGTAGGTCTAGATCAGTTTAGGCGTTATAGCCAAGGTTGGTGGA